AATTCCCTCAGACGTTCCTCGGAGACCGGTTTCTGATGTTCATCCGTTTCGAACGAATCTGATTTGTCTGGAGTGTGTACAGTCTGTTTCGACAACAACCGACGACGTTTAATAGCTTCTCCAATTAAAGCGACATCAGGCTCCGATCCGATCCGGAGTTCATCTTGCAATAGCGGCGGTTCCTCTGGAAATTTCTGTACAACGCTGATGACTTTCCGAGCAAAGCCTGCAGTGTACTTCGCAGCAAAGGTCGACAAGGGAAGCCACTTTCCCAGATGTTTCACCTGGCCCTCGATCTGTTTGTGGGTATGTCCTTTGCTACAGTACCTGCTGTCTAAAACCTCATGCAAACACCGGGAGGTCGTCAGGACTACACTCCGCTTTTGAAGCGGATCGCCTTTCCAGTTTAAGCCCAGTTCGCACATGTCAAAAACAGTCGTGAAAGTCCCGTACCGTGTCTGTTCCAGTTCCGGCTGCACAAGAAGTTCTGAACCCACTGGTTGTTCAAGGTGGAAATGATTACCGTGTTGAACCTGATACCAGTACATCTCTTCACAAAGACACAAATTGGGTCTTTCTTGTTTCCTCCCCTCCAGGATTCTTTCCCTCATCTTCAGACTCCGACCCATGTTCCTCCTAGCAAAATTACCCCACAGTTTACAGTCAGGTGAGGCCCAGATGTGTCTGGGTCGGTGTGTTTCGATGATCCTCCAGAGACTTGCTTGTCCCTCTGTCGTGCGGAGATCACCATCCTGGAGTGTAAATCTTTTGGCCCGAAGGCCCAACTGGTTTGCAACTCTGGTCAATTGGGAATCCGGGAAACAATAGACCTCCAGGATGTCCAGTCTCTCTTTCGAATTGGTGGTTCGTGGTGCAAATTGTCGTGTCTGGATGTCAGCTGAGTGTGCTGCTAGTACTGCAAGTTGGTGCTCAATCTTTTCCACCAGATTAGCTAACTCCTGGTCAAAGAACTTGTTAATAGGAGTGTCCATACTGGCCAAACCATCTTCCAGGGTACCAGTAGCATCATAACTCAACTTCTCTATTGGTGGTTCTATGCATCCTCGGCTGGCATCAGGTGCGACAGTTCTCTCTGCAGAATTGCGATCTGCGCCTGAATTTGGTGCACTCGCTCCTGCGTCTCCTTCGCGAAGTCGACATTCATCTTCTGGGTGGTCTCGGTGGTCGGCGGTCCACGTTTGGCATTGGTCGACCCACTTGCCAAAGACGTGATCCCGAACTGGACTTCCGAGCTGCCCTTGCCCTTCAACTCGTCGATGATGTCCCAGTCGGTGGCGGTCTCCCCATTCTGGTTCCAGTCTTTGCGCACCTGCTGGATCATCGAGGGCGTCAACACCCGCTGTTGTTGGTCCACCGAGATGGACCGGTCCATCTGATCCATGGCCCTCACATAGTTGTGAAAGCTCAGGGCCCAGGCTGACGTGCAATCGCCCTTCTTCTTCATGTACTCGGCGTAGCTCGCGTTGATGGCCAGGGTCTGTGCAAAGGTCTTGCCAACATGTTTTCCTCCTGCCAGCTTCTGCTCTCCCCACTCCCTGAGGGTAGTCACCCCCGGTGGCTTGACAATCGCCACCTTGCTGTCCATCGGCAGCATTGACAAGGTGGCATCCTCCTGGAGGGGCAATGGAGCATCCATGCCCACGATCGGAGCATAGGCTGGATTCATCTTCTTGGGCGCCATCTTGAGTAGTGCTGGACGGTGCTTGCTCGCGGATGCTTGATGCTTGGTGTGCGGCTGTCACGGAGGTGTGGTGTTGTGGAGTTCGTCCGTCAGTTGTTAGTCCGTTCTTTGTTTCATCAACTGAATGAGTGACGACCTCCCAAGATTCCCCGTGCACTCTCACATTCTCAGCATGTTTCAAAATCTCGACAAGATCAACAAGAAACAAACCTTTCTCACTCATGGCTAGGGGTACACTCACACGTCCATGAAACATGCACAAAACTTGCTTGGAAGTGCAAATGTCCGCTGCAACCGCTTTCAAGAAGGCGTTCGATAAAAGGAAAGGAGTGGCTCCGTCGACAACCTCTAACTTCAGCCAACGTTCACCGAACGGAATGAAAACTGCTCCCAAACTAGCTAACGTTCCGTTGTTGCCAAAACGAAAAATCGTGTTTGACTTCTGCCATGCAATCTTCTTTGCAAAAATGTCCGGAAGAGTGGCCATCAGCTGCTCTAGCCTCTTTTTTCCAATCACTGACTTACTAGCTCCTGTGTCCAAGATAGCTGTGCTACCATGATCTAGAAAAAAACATCGGCTCAAAGCGGGTCTCATGCCTGACACGTTTTCCCATGGACTCTGAAAGACCCTTCTTCAGTGACCATTTCATGACATCCAAGGATAGAGCAGCAAAAACGAATTCATCATTAACATGGGCATTCCTTTTTGGATCCCAACAAAAATTTGGGGGGCATTGTTCTTTCCCGGCCTGGTCGTTGTGAGATTCATGTTCGGCCATCATCACCAGGTCAGGTTCCATCAGCGTTTCCGTCTCTGTGTCCTGAATCGAAATCCCCTGCTGGTTCATGGGCCACCACTCAGGTAGGGCGTGTTCAAGGGAAATGGGTAGCTTTTCCACCACCTCAGATTCCTGATCTCCATAGGTCTCTCCAACGAGGGTGGACACATGGATCTCCGCAGGAGAGGCATTGGGGTTTCCTGCGTTTCCTTTGTTCGGACACTCTTGCCGCCAGTGTCCTTTGGCACCACATAGACGGCAGTTCGAATTGGCGATCCTGTCAGCGAGTGACTGCCTCTTTCGAAAACCGCCCTTCCAAGAACTCTTCTTGCCACCTTTGTGTTTCCCTTTTCCTTTGACTGGTGGCCAAAAGCCTCTGGCACGGATCTTGTCTCGAACTCTGCCACGGGCCTCCGTGTAAGCTGAAAAGCACATGCTCAAATCCACATTGTCTTGACAAGCTTCAATCAGCTGGTCTTCAAACTCTGACACCAGAAGTGCGTCTTCGTCGCCCTGCTCCATCAACAACATGATGCCCGCTTCATCGTCCTGGATGAAGTCCTCCTCTGCGACAAAAGCCGAAGCCTGCCCATCATCATCATCTTCCACATAATTCACGGCATACACTTTCTTCTTGGCATCAACGCCAGTGTTCCCCACGAGGATCTTTGGGGCCAATTGCCTCATGGCATCTTCAACCTTTTTGGCCTGTAGTGTCCCACCAGTCATGGCCAGGACTCGTTTCTTATCCTCAGCATTGAGGAAGCTCTGACGCAGCATGATGAAAGCTTTGATCTCCTGGATGGTGACATCTGGGATCTCGGCAAAGGCGACATTCATGCGGTTGACATAGGAGAACACGCTTTCATCTTGTTTCTGTTGAACCTTGTATAGTGCCCGTTCAAACTTCTCGTATGTCTGAAGTTCTGCCGAGTCCTCCCAAGCAGCAACCGTACTCAGGAGTAACTTCACACCCCCTTCTGGGTCCGAGAGTTTGGCACCATCTATCGACTTGATCTGAGCCCAAGCAGTGCCCTTCATCAGCAATGCCAATCTCGGTGCCAGCATTGCCTTGTCTTTGGCCGGACAGATGGAGAAAAGAAACTTCACCTTGTCGGAGTACTCACGGGGGTCATCGACTGACGGGTCGAAGCTGGGTAGCAGGCTCCAAATGTGTCCGGACTTCTCATCTTGGCTGCTTTCACCATCAGGCATGGCTCACTGTCACGGTCGTGGGTAAAATGTCTTGCAAACCTAATTGTTCAAATGCAACCGTCCTAGGTCAATTAGGAACCGAGGTAAACACCAACCCCAAAAGGTAAAACCTGTTGCCTCAACAGCTATGCCTCCTGCGGAGGCTCCGCTACCAATGTTAATCTAGCACTGTAGACTGAACGTGGAAACCCTGTCCACCTAAACCGAAAGGTGACCGCACCTCTTTCACGCTGATCGATACGTCCGCCCTCCCGCCCTTTCAGCGGTCCGAACCACGGCGTGTGAGCGAGACAACTCGAGGTTGGTTCCGGGAAACTTGTGAGTTTCACAATTTTTATATATATATATATAAATACAATTTTATACATATATATTTTCCTTCTTATCTTAAAATGTTAAAAGTACTACTCAGACTGTCAGACTCAGTCCCAACTTGGTCTCAGGCGATCAGCTGCGCTGCAGCCGCTGTGGTCAAAGTGGTCATGTGGCCAAAGAATGCCTTCGATCGCCCAGTCATCCCAGTGGCTTGGATCTTCATTTCAGGTGAGGGAGGCCTTCGCTAGTAGGTTGGAGGCCATTGCTATTAGGTTGGAGGCCTTTGGCGACCTAATGGAAATGAGTGCCGCTCCTTGGAATGATGACTGCAGTCGGAGGTTGATTTCTGGTGGTGGTGCCATTGATCGGCCAAGGCAAAGCTCTGGTGGCCACGCTGGCTATAGGCAAGATTTGGACTGGGCCAAGCAGTATGCTCTCATCGCAGCATCTCCCCATAGCTTGACTGCATGGACGTAAGGGCGTCGTCTCTGACGATCGTTGTGCTTTTCGTGGGTGTGTTTCATGCCACTTGACTTGGGACCATTGCATAAATTTGATCTCACAATTTCATACACTTTCAATCACTTTCATTTGTTTTCCAAATTTGGAACTGAGGATCAGCCAAATACTCAAACGTTTTCAATTGTGCTGTAGCTGGGAGGCATTTCCAAAGCCATGCAGCAATATCCCCTTCTGAGCGCCTCTCGTTTGGTGGATGGAGGCCGGCGAGGAAACTCGTATGTGGTGCTTCCCTGCCAAGAAACAAAGACTACAAGCTGTGGGGTGTGATTCAAGGGTGTTCGAGAGTTCAACGAGACATGATTGGCACACACACACATATATATATATATACACGTTGTGTCCATTTTCTCTATCGCTCTTGGATCCAGGTGGCCTCAAGGCAGCAGTTTCCAAAGGCAAGGAACTGCTCTTGGAAGGCGATGACGCGGCCGACACCTGGCCAAGTACAGCATATGGCATAATTATGGTATGAGTATGGAACATGAAGTGGTAAGGCGACATGCCGGCCAATGTAGGCGAGAGATGGCAAGACTAGGTCAGAATCACACACGGCTTTCGATCTTTCCACACTGATTGCAGTATTGACTGGTTGCCTTTCGACCTTGCATGCCAGTTCATTCGCATAATATAAAAATATATGTGCTCTCTCCTTCCGTATGTGTATTCCTCAGGGCTCAAGCTCTTTGTTGTTGCTTAGTGATTTGCTTAGTTAAATAATTCTAGCTTTGGCTCCGCTTGCTTCCCTTTTCGGGTTTTGGCATGCCGGCACCCGACCTGCGCCCCCAATTGCAGTCTCTTCTTCAGACTGTCGAGGAGGTGGCGTGCCAGAATTGCAGCAGCTTTTGCTTTCAGAACGCTGCCTGTGGCATTTTCATTTTCAGTGTTGACAAGTGGTTGGTGCACACGAAGAGTCCAGTCATGTGCAGTGGAAGGAGCAGCGGCATCTTCTGGACTTGCTGAGCGTCCAGCATGACCAGTTTACCTTGGCGCTCCGCGAGTCTATGGAGCGGATGAAGGAAGTTGAAAGAAAGGCGGGAAGGTGGAGATGTTGTGAGGTCTTTATAGGAGTGTGATTCTTGTTTGTCGCCGTATGCCGGTATTGCAGGCCTTAGTTGCCGAAGCACCACAGCTGGCAGATGATTTCGTTGAAAACAGGCAGAGAGAAGCGATGTTCTTGGCCCTGTGTCCGCCAACAAGTGAATGCTTTAATTGCATGTCAACCTGTCAAACAGGATGGAAAGCCTGAAAACAACATGACAGAGCATTGACACCTTTAAACTTATAAACCACCATCGTCACAGCTCGTTCCCAGCTTGAATCGTGCAGGGTGGTATTCGCGGAGTATGATGAGCAGGAGGAGTACAGAAAGAAGATGTCTCACCATGACCACTCAACAAGTACTCTTGGCAAAATCCCTTCACCTCACCACGAGCCATAAACTCAGAAAGGAGACACCATGACACGACCACTGGAACTCTTGAGCAAAAGGGTTCTTAGTTGAATCCCTACTGTATCACCCATCGCGTTCACCTGTTTCTGCTGAGTTCGTCTCGGACTTTGCGACACCAAAGGACTGCGCAGGCGGGGTAATTTGATGGGCTTGCATTTCAGTGAAGCTTGAGCTCGGGGCCCTTGCCCAAAAGTCATTAGGAGTAAATGTGACTTTCAGGAGATCTTGGGCTTGCAGAATTTTGTGGACAAAAGCCGTGCATATGTGGATATGGTGGCTGGTACACTCGTATGCTTGAACTGCCTTGTGATGCTGGCAATCTGGCAGCATAGACGGGGGTCTAGAGTCTAGGACCTAGGATTGAAAGACTTCCTTTTTTCTTGCGTGTGTGTGTGTGTGTGTGTCCTAACACTTGAGACGTGTGAGACTGGTACATCCCAGACCCTTGTGCTGGACAATTCATGTGTATCCTTGTGCTGGACAAGTGGAACATCCTGAGACCGAGCTCGAGCTGGAGGGCCAGGCAGCTGGTGTCCGCTTGGGTTTGGGCCCTGGGCCAAACCTGGAAGAGGTGCAGAACATTTTTCAAACCTTGGTGGCTGGGATTCAACACAAGGCATCACACAATCATGATGCAGTTTTTCGTAATCCAATCAGTGGCTGTTGTTTTAACAAGCCAGGTCTGTTTCTCAGAGTCTTGCTTGATCGGATGTGCGAACATGTGTGAGATACTCCACCAGCTTCGGCAGTTGAATGGAAACTAAGGATACCATCTTCGTTGTTGTGTTCACAGTGGAGTTGTTATTTCGAGCCGTCCTGGAGAGAAAAGGTTTTATCTCAGACCTGGCCAACGCCTTCGACACTATCCTAGTAATTCTTGGTTGCTCAGCCAAGCTTAGTATTAAGGTGCTTGGCTTCAAGCCTAACGCTTGATGTTGCTGCGCGCTTTAGACAGGTTGATTTTCAATCAGGCACCCTTGGTTGTGCTTTTCAACGGGTTTTCCTTTCTTTCAACGGGTTTCTGCCAATCAAGGCTGGCTTGCTCTCACCATCAGTGGTTTCGCCGTCAGCGACATCTTGCTTTTGCGGACGGTGAGAGTGGCTGGGACGAAGTTGGGTGGATCGCTGGGTGTTGTGTGATTTGTTCATATCGTTTCACCTAACTTTTGTAGGCGCCTAAGGGAGAGGTAGCTAGTACCTTACTTAAACTACTAGTAACTAGTAAGGACGCAGGATAGCTCACGCTTCCTTGAAGAAGCGGAAGCGTGAGCACCAATGATTTGGTTCCTTGATTTTTAGGGAAACTCACCTTGTCTTTTCTCCGTGCAAGGTCCTCAAGGCCCTCCGGGCTGTGCGCTTGCTTAGGCGGGATGGTTAGTGGTGCCACTGTTGGAATTCTTTCGTGATGAACATGGCATGGTTGCATGTCGGCATGACTACTCCTGGCAGTCCGAATCACATGAATCCAGGAGCTTCAGATTCTTCAAGGGCTTGCGCTTCTTGGTCAAGGCTTGCTACTGCTTCATCCCGTCCCTCCTTTGGGCAATGCTCCTCCTGGTGGTCTTTATTTGTATGGGTGCATTGGTTCAAGGCAGTCTGCTACAAGACTTTATTCTCAAGGAGGATGCTGATAAAGAAGAGAGGCTGTGGGTGTGGAACCGCTATGGGACAGCATACCGCTCCCTCTACACCATGTATGAGATCACATTTGTAACTTGCCTTACTTTTCCATTTCTTTCTGTACAGGTTATACACTTGCAGTGTGGCGCTTTCATGTTGGCCACTCAAATCAACTGAATGGACATTGCTCAGCATTGCTCAGCTCATCTCGGCTCTTTGTGTTTAGTCTTGGCTTGGTGACTTTTTTGGTTGTCTCTGCAACACCCTAGGCAGGAAATTGGCCCACCAATGCTCGCCCAATCTTGGAACCTCGGGCACAGGTGAATCCGTGACATGGGCACCTGAAGCGGATGATAGAAAGTTTGAACACATGGCAGTCCATAGCTTTGGGGTCAACTTGGAACAAGTTCCTTGTTTGTTGGCTGAGTGATTGAGTGGCCTTGGAATGTGAAAAAAAGGCAGGTGTTTTCTGCCGCTCTGACACCAAGGAAACCGTGGGGCATCCATTCGTTTTGTTCTACTTGGTCTACATAACTTTTGTGGTGTTCGCGACCTTGCGTGTGGTAACCGCAGTATTTCTCAGAGACACGTTTCTTTTCTGTGTTGAATGCACTACTTTTGTTTTCCTTGTTATTTTTTGGATTTTTTTAAGACCATGTCAATGTCATGCGTAGTAAAGCGAGTCACGAGGAATAACTTTCACTTCAGAACATGATGACAAGGTTAGATGCGGCCCGCAACGACGATGAGGCGCTTGTGATGGATTCTTGGTTGAAACCATGAGCATCCATGCAGTTGCTGACCTGGTTGTATGGTCGGCATACCCGGTGTACCTTCTGCAAGTGTTGGACCCCCGAGACCATGTGGGTGACTAGAATTGGTGCTTCATCCAACCCTAAAATGATCAACTCAGTTGCCGGTTGCTGCACCCTGCCGTGCGTGTCCAAGGAGCGGCTGAGGAACCGGGACAACTACCTTGACAAATTGGAGTCTGCTTTCGAAGCCATGACCGGCCACAGTGAAGGACAGATCTCGGAAGAGAAGCTCGAAGCAGTGCTGCAGAACCCTAAAGCCCAGGCGAGCAGTAGAGTCAGCGGATGGGATTCGGGTGATTGGAGAACCTAGTGTGGATCCCTGTGCTGAAAGAGCCCTGTGCTGCACAAGGCATATTTTCAGACACTAGAGCTGGACATTGTGGAGAGCCATGCTTTGTTCAAAATGCTCGACCCTTGCTGCAGAAAGCCTTTTCTGATATTGACGCTGTTGAGATTCTTTAAATTTATTTATACAAAAGAAACACTTGCATGCCGCGTTCACATTTCTGATTTGAGGCCAGAGCTTGGACTTAGGCATGGGTCCAACAACCAAGAAGCTGTTTTCTTTGTAGAATCAATGTGGGTGAGACGGTGTGAATGGGCTCCGAACATCCCCGAAAGGTTTGCAAGTGATGTGCGGAGACGTTTCCCAAAAAGCAATGCCAGCAGCGGCAAAACGTAATGCTTCTTGAAGCGACGATCGAATGCAGCGGTACCGTCATTTGAAGCTCCCATGCCTTCACTAGGTCTGATTACAGGTGGGAGGAATTCTCACTCAATTGCATTCAGTCCGTCGGTTTGCGCACGCGGTCTTAGCGGTGCCTGGCATGAAAGTGTCATAACATAAGTTGTCTAGTTTACAAGAGCATTTGTATCAAACGGGTCCTGCTCCATGATTGATGAAGGGTTCTTTGTCTGGCCTGCTATCGCGAAGTGACCCCCACAACAAGCAAGAACACTTGCTTGAGGTGAAGCAGTCGTGGCCATGAACGAAACATACGAAAGAGAGAAAAGTCTAGCTCGAACATCTGCCTTGACTCACCTTGCTGCTGCTGATATAAGAGCGGCAGAGAGTGCTAACTACACATGGGATTCACACGCACGTAGCGTTTGCAGCGCACCCCCCACCGCAGGAGTCCGCAGGCCTAGAAACTTCTATGAAAAAGTCCAATCTCAGCCTTGCGTTGCTCTCACATGCAGCTGCAAGCATGCACGTGCAAAGGTGGCTGTCCACAGAGGGCGTGGGATAAACTTTGCCACGCAGACCTTCTTTGCTGAAGGGTCTCTTCAGCCGCTTCAGCGCTTCAACCCATGTTCTTTCCTGTGTTGAACATTTTGTGTGGTGCCGTGAATGTTTCCCAACTTGCTTTCAATGCCTGACAAAGTTGGGGTCCAGACCAGTATACACTTAGCAATGCAATGCCCGTTCAGCAAAAGATGTGTGCTCCCAATACCTTCTGGAATTGGGCCCTAGGCTCGCCTTAGCCAATTGGCTAAACTTAAACTCTCCGAGAGGGCGATAGAGGGAGGGAGGGAGGGAGAGAGAGAGAGAGAGAGAGAAAGAAAGAGAAAGAGAACACCCTGGCTCAAGATTTCGGCTCAAGCGTGAGCTGTGATTGACAACCTCGAGGGCACTGGTCCATTGCCCGTGATAGCGGAGCACACCGAGAATAAGCACCCTACCTCGAGGAGAAGGGCACATACCTGTTTGTTCTTGCAAGATGCATGGGGGCTCCTGGGATGGATTCAACAAGGTCCGACCGAGAAGGACCTATTATGTTTGCGATGGGTGCACCGGCTCATGGATCTGGGCAGATCGAGTCTCCAGCACCAGATGGTGTTGTGACCACTGTGGCCAGCAGTGGCCGAATGACAAGGTCAAGAGCAGTCCGACAAACAAGCACTCTCCTCGCCCTAGACGAGATCGCCCTCGAAGAGATCGCACGGTCCTGGTGGACAAGCCGCCGGGGTTGGGAGGTCGGCAGCAAGAGTCCGTGGCTGAGAGTGCGCTCAGGAAAGGTTGGGGCACCTTGACCAAAGAGGTGCAAGAAGCCCTGAAAGGAGTTGGCATTGATTACACTCCGGAGCCTGAGCTGCAGCCTCTTGAAGAAGTGCTGAAGGCTCATCTTGAAGCCCTTCCTTCTGAAGTCCGATCAGCTGTTGAAGGCCTACTTCATCCGGCGCCTGTAGCACAGGTGGATGTCACCGGCCAACTTAAGGCCACAGTGGGCGAATTGCGCCAGCTTTCGCAGAAGAAGCAGGCTTTGCAGCGGAAAGTGGACAATGCCAAAGAGCAATACAAAGTGCTTCTTGAAGAGCTCAAAGGTGTGCAAAATGCCATTGATAGGGAGCACAAGCAATTGGGCAGCCAGTCGGAAGCATATGCCAAGCAGCTGAAAGAAGAGGCCATTCCTAGCACTCCGGAGGACAAGGAGCATGTCATTGATCCTGACACTACTGAGCATGTCTTGAAGGCCATTGGTCAGGCGGGCATCATTTTCAATGCTGACCAGCAGAAAGAGCTGGAGCGTAACCTTGCAGAAACTTTGGCCAAGCGCCGCAAGACTGGTGACCTCCCACAGAGTGGGTAACAGTACTGATGATATGTGTGATGGCCTGCGAAAATGGGTTGCTGCAACAACAGTGATGGGGTCCTGTTGGTCAGGCAGCTTGTCAGATGGTGGTTTGAAACAATTTGGGGATGAGTCAAACGCCAGGGAATGTTTGACAGTATGGAGACACGCTGCAACTGTCCACTGTGCAAGGGGTTCAGCATTGCATGGTTGTGAACGTGATCTCTTTGCATGTGAACGTGATGAGCATGACAGCTTGGACTCGACCTGTTGGCTTGGCAGCATGCAGCCGTATGTTGGTAGTGACAGGTATTTTGACAGTCCATATGTTGAAAATTTTGGTGACAATGGTTTTGCCATTGACATGGGTGTTGATCCAGACATCTCCACTGCTTTAGAGCCAGGGCGAACCATGTCGGCAATGTCCCGTGGCAATGGCAGAGAAGATGAGGCTTCTGCAAAGGTGGAAGCTAAAATGCAGCTCGACATGGATGCAATAGGTCGGGAGCTGGGGGAGCGCTGGGCACCGAGTGCTTCTTCTTCTGAGCGGCTGGGCGTGCCCAGACCTGCTGTAGGCGGGACCCAGATGCAACCACAGCACCTGACTGAACAATGTGCCCTCCTTGGTGGAGGCAAACGAGGTGCTGTTTTCACCTCTGCGGACATCATTCAAGCTGGCAACGTCCCGGAGCAGCCTTTGACTCCGGGGCATCTCCAAGACCGTATGGTGGTCTTGCAGCAAAGAGCCATGGAGGCAATCCACGCGCTGCCCGTGGACTGCCGAGATGATTATGGTTTTGGCAAAGTTGAGACAAGGGTTTGGGGCTTGGAGGCTCTCAAGCATGTGCTCAAAATGCGACTTGCTCTTCAGCATAGCCTGCCCTTGACGCAATTGGTTGCGCAGGAACCCACCATGCCCCCTGCCAATGAGTTGTTGGCGGCCAATTTGACTCTTACGTTGAGCAACCCAGGCAATCGTTGTTATGCCAACACTGTTTTGCGGATGTGGTGCTGGATGGGTGCGCACCATTCTAACCCCAAAGAGTTCTGGGGTCCCTCCACCAACTTGTGCCTCCAGCTCCTGCAGCAGGATGTCATTGAGGACATCTTTTGGGCGTCGGAACTGCAACCAGCCTTGGCCAGGCTGGAACAACCACAACAGCAGCATGATGCCAGTGAATTCCTTGTTCACTTATGGGAACTGTGGGGGCAAACAGGTTTGCAAGGCACCTGGTTCTCCTACTTTGGAGGGCGTGACCATGAGTTTGACACGATCCCCCTCTATGTCCGGATGCCTGCTGATGCTGGCGATGACATTAGCTTTGAACAGCTATTGAGTGAATGGGCCAATGAGGCCAATGGACAATGCTTAGCAAATGAGGTTGAACACATTGTTTTCCATGTAGGCCGCTATTCCCTGGATGCTGCTGCCAAGGAGTGGGTCAAGCATCACAACCGCTTGCACACACCTTCGAGCTTCAGGTGCCCTCAGCGGACTCTGACCGGACACACTGGCCATTCCACCTTTGTCCTTCGGGGCATAATTGCTCATCAGGGTGCTCAGTTGACTTCAGGGCACTATGTGGCCATGTTAGTGGAGGGTGATGCAGTATGGACGGTGGATGATGGAGAGTGCCCACAACCACGGAAGCAGGTCCCTGAGGAAATTCAGAGAGGAGCTGTGATGATCTGGGCCTCCCGTGCGGAGCACAGTCAGTTTTGGACGCACACAATTGGCAGCTTTGCACCGCCACCCAAGCGGCCCAGAGTTAGTTGTGATGGCATCGAAGTGTTCTATAGCAATGTCACTCAGTGGAACAGAGACGCCTGTGACTGGCTGCTTCAACAAGACATTCAGGTTGCCATGCTAGTTGAAACCCATGTGGCTGGCAAGCAGCTTGCCACTGTGTCTCAAGCCTTGGCGCGGAGTCGATGGCAGCTTGCCACTTTGGAGGCATATGAAACTGGGCGGGGAGGCACTAGTGGCGGTCACTTTTTCTGTAGTCGTGAGGGCCAAGCTGCCTATAAGATCCATCAATGTGATAAGGCTGGAAATGGGTATTTGGCAAATGTGCTGCAGCGACACAATTGGGAGGTTGTCCTGGTCTCGTTATATTTGAAGTGTGGCGAAGACCTCAACTCCCCTACAAATGCTGCAGTGCTGGGAGACTTGGCTGCCTTCCTACGTGAGCTGGCAATTCCATGGCTGGTGGTTGGTGATTTTCAGGTGCCACCCACTCAATGGCAAGGACACCAACTTCTCAACGTCTTGAAGGCGGAAGTTGTCTGCACGGGCCAACCTACCCTGATCAATGGAGCTGAACTTGACTACATAGTGGCAAGCCGCACTCTGACTCCCTTCCTTGATGTCAAGGTCAACTGGGATGTGCCTTGGAGGCCACATGCAGGTCTGGTGGTCACCATTGACAGTTCAGCTCCACGACTTCATTTGCCACAAGTGACACATTATGCGGCAGTGCCCAAATTGCAGCAGGCCACAAAGCAATGGGATGACATCACAGCTGCGCCCAAGCCCTATTGGTTGGGCAGAACTTTGGGACCTAAAGAACTGCAATGTGCTGAGTGGTGCCACCAGGCAGAGCAATATGTGTTGCAGAACCTACATGAACCACGATGTGGCCGCGGGTGGTATCTGGCCCTTGAACTCAAGCCGCTGCCACTGACCAGGCCCCTTACCCCTTGGAGGAAAGGGGATCTTGCCTACTGGGGCCAGTTCATGTCATTGCTGTCCCACATTGAACTCAAAGGACAGTTGAGTCACAACGTCATGCTCCACTTGAAGGCCAAGGCTGCTGATCTGGATATGAGGTGGCAAAATGTTCATGGCGATGTAGCCTTTCGAGCGGCCCTTGAAGCCTTGATCTCAGGAGAGTCGATGCCTTTGAGCCTGCTGATGAAAGGAGCTGAGGCCAATCGTGATTTTGCAAAGACGGCTGCCCTGCAACAGCAATCACAGGAATATCAAGCGTGGCTGTCACAAGCAACCTTGAAAGGCCACAGTGGCATCTACAAGTGCCTGAAAGCTCCTGATGTAGTGCATGCGCGGCCATTCCGCAATGTTCCGGCGCAGGACAGACAGAAGCTGCGAGAACAGCAATGGTATGCCAAGTGGCAGGTGGTCGACAAGCCGGTGACCTCTGGAGAAAGAGAGCGTTTACGATGGGAAGGTATTGTCCAGGCACGGCAGTGGGAAGATCTGGACCCCCACCAAGTGATGAAAAAGCTGAGCAATTTGCCACAAAAGGCTAGCGGGCCGGATGGCATCAGCTATGCCCTCCTGAGGAACTTGCCGCTTGAAGGTGTTGTTAGCCTCTGCAACATGTATCGGCAGTGGGAGTTAACGGGTCGGTTGCCTGATCAAGTTTGCACCACTTTGGTGGTATTGCTTCCCAAGAAAGAGGACATCGAGCGCCCCATCAGCCTGACCAGTGTTCTGTACCGCACGTGGTGCAAACTGAGATGGGACAAGCTCAAGCAATGGCAGAATGTTGTTGGCCAGCGCTTGCCTTGGGAGCGCAGCATGCCAGGCATGCAGGTCCTGTATGTTGCACTGATGCGCCTGCCAAAGTGCGAAGTTGGACGTGCCACAGGACGACATGTGGTGTCCTTGCTCTTGGACTTACAGTGCTTCTACGATTCAGTTGATTTGGAGCAGTTGCTTGGCCTTTGGGAGCCGCTAAATTTCCCACCTGCAATTCTCAATGCAGTGTATGAAGTGTACTCTGGACCGCGCTTGCTACAGGCGGAACAAATTACCTCCACACCTGTTCATTGCAGCAAAGGAATCCTGGCGGGCTGCCCGGTCGCCCCGCTTATTGCAAAGCTTGTTTTGGGCCCGGTCATTGATCAGTTCACTGCAGAGTTTCCCAGGGCTTCGGTGGATGTTTGGGTCGATGACATTTCTGTAGATTTCACTGGCATGGATGCTAATGTTGTCAGCAGGGAAGCCCTAGATGGGTATGAGCAGTTGAAAACTGGCTTGGAAGCCATTGGTCTGCAGCTCTCAGCCACCAAAACTGGTTTTCTGGCGTCAACGGTTGAATGCAAAAGGGCATTGAGCCTTTTCAGGCGTGATCACCAGCCTCAGGTCCATGAGCTCCTTAAGGATCTTGGTCTGGATTCTAGTGGAGGTCGCAGACGTCGGATTGGTGCCCAGCAAAAGCGCCTTCTTAAAGGCAGGGGGCGACAAACCAAGCTGCTCCACTTGAAGCTCCGCTCTCGACCAGTACGCATCCGCATCTGGAAAACATCAGTGCACGCAGCAGCTGGTTATGGACTTGAAGCTCAGGGCATTGCACCACAGCGCCTCCGCACTTTGCGGCAACAACTGGCTAGGCATGGCGGCTTGCAGAAAGGGGGCAGTGTGGACATTGTGTTTGACCAGCATCACAAGCTGCAGGACCCGAAGGATACCATTGTTGAACGTCAGTTGAAAGCCATGCACCAGCTGGTACAGGCCTGGCCAGTCAACCAACAAGGAGAGCTTCGGACAGCCTGGAGGGTCTCCTGGCGGAGATTACGTGCAGCAGCCTACCCCTGGATGGTTGTGGCTGGTCCCATGGCGGCCCTCCAAGCCTATTTGATGGACATGGGCTGGGATGCAGAAGACCTAGACGATTGGCTGCGTGCACCCACGGGCATCATGCCGCCTCAGCAGATGTGCATTGGGCACCCCTGGGAGCATCTTCAGAGGCAGTTGAAAGCAGAGCAAACCATGCAGAGGGCCAGACGCATCCAGGAGCTGGAACATTGTTTTCCCCTGATGAGGAGGCCGGACTGGACAATTTACCACCGAGTGATGCGCAAGCTCAAGGGTGTTGCTCGTACTGCGGTGGATGCATGGGACTCAAGGCTCCCTCCGTACTCGCACAGCGGGTGAGAGAGTGACATGCCCTTTGTGCCAAACTCCGGTGACCCTGAAGCACCTGGTGTGGGAATGCCAATATCATGAGCAAGAATTGCCGGCCTCATGGACGCAAGACATTCGAGCCAATGAGAACGCGATGCTGTGGTCTCGGGGCCTCATTGAAGCACCGGTTTGTCGGCTGGTGGTTGGCCTGGACTCGCTGGAAACCCATGGGATGTTTGCGCATGGTTGGCCTGTGCGTGTTACCCCGAGCCAGCGACTGGCCATTGGTGTGAAGGCTACCTGCACAGAGGTACGACTCCGACACTTTGTGGTATCCCTCATTGTCGGTGTCTGGCAGGATGGTTCGTGGCAGTTGACTGGCAAATGTACTTTGGTTGTGCCGGGCGAAGCAACTGAAGCCAGGGCCTGGTTCTATGGGTGCTGGCTCCTCCTCCAGGCCACTCTTGGTCGGCGCCAGGTCAATGTTGCACATCGGGCCGGATGGGCAGCAGTCACGAAGGGTGCAAAGGGCACCTGTGCCCCTGATCTGTGGCATAGTCTGCCTGCCGAGGAGTGGAAAAGGCTGAAGGTTGTCCATGTCCCAAAGAAGATGCTCAAGCAAGCTGGAGGTGACAACCGAGCCTGGCTGCAGTATCAGGAGGCAGCCCTCTGTGCTCAGCTTCGTGCTCAAAGCATTGCCCCTGATGACATGGTGCAACAATTGCACGCAGATGACCAATGGCACCAAGAGGTGTATGAAGTGGCAGCTCAGCGCATCAGTCACATCCTCACAGACAAGGAGCACTACATGCATGGCAAGCTAGAGCCGGTGCCCACACCCTTTCGGGTCAAGGTTGACCGACCCAAGGGGCGTTTGGAGATTCTACGTCAGCTGACGCAGCAGGCGCCTCAAGAAGGGCACCACCATTGGGCCTTGCAGGGGCATGGCATTCGGTGCAAGCAATGTGGCCTGCACATCAAGGGCTGTTCAACTCATGATGAGATAGCCCGGAAGCAAGCCACTGTATGCACTGGGGTGGCAGTACGCACCCTCACCCAGCTCAAGCTGGAGCTTGTGGAGGCCACTGAGGCTTTGAATGAGAGCCAAGCGGGGCATAGGTGGTACAGCAGAACCAGCTCCTTTGGGTGCTCCCGGTGTTGGAGGAAGGTCTCTGGCCGCAGCAGCAAGGAAGCAGTGCTGAAGCTCAGTGAGTCGCCATGTGACTATGGACCGCTTGATCTGCCCACTATGGAGTTGAGGACAAAAGTCAACCCGGAGCACATCCTGTGGAAGAGGGGTGAGTGGCTTGAATGCCAGCGCTGTCATCGAGTCACGAAAGTCCTTCATGGCAGAGGCCAGAGCTGGCTGGCTGGTTCGTGTGACGGCAGATCGAGGCAAACTACGCTTCGTTTTGGGCCCAGCTCTGAGAGCTGATGACAGATGGTCCTTGGAGGGCCTGACTTTAGACTTCCAAGGCGAAGGATCCTTGAGTCTAGCCATTTTTGGCCTGAGGCCACGGCGGAGGTGGACCTCCTCGTGCACTTGGAGCAAAAGAGCCGAGCAAAAAAAAAAAAAAGAGAACACCGTTGAACACCGCGGTCTTCTCCACCAAGGCTAGTACAAAGAACCCACAGAGCCATGATTTCCGTCATCCGCTTCTCAACAATGATGATTGGATATGATTGGTAAGCAAAGACAGCTTGAAAGAAGAGAGTATACAAAATTATATAACTTCAAATCCTCCAAACACCAAATAAGTTGGGATGGATTATGAATAATGGTTTCTTGGGGACCCCCTTGAGAGCTTGAAAACAACAAGGTTGGAGATAGGCTTTACAAAGAACTTAAGAGAAGATTTATGGAGGTGGTTTTGGAGATCTGGGTGATTTTGAGGGATCCATGAATGGACAAAGGCATGAGCAAGAGGTCGTTTGGGATTAATGCAATTTGGGTGTGGGACGGGGGTTTCACTGGCAAGACCATGAGCCAACGCTTGCCAATGGGACCTGCTGCAATAGGACTAAGACGAGGGGTTGGTGAATCAAGGGGGATGAAGACAGGGCAGGGACCCCAAAGACTAAATCTCTTCATGGAAGAAAGGCGGTTAGCGTTGCAGCAAAATGTGCGGACACATTTTGCAAAATTGTCTCTTAACCCTGTGTTACATAGCTGAGCAAGAAACTGGTGGGCACAACCTGAAACATCTGGGGCAGATTGAGGCTGCACCAAAAGAGTTGGATAGATTTGGGCAAATGCATAGCTTCACTGTATGTGTAAACGCTATGAAAAGACCAAGCTTTGTTGGAAAGTCTTGTCTGGCCAAGGACAATGGTGATGGTGTCATCACCCACGGAGAATTTGTGGATGGAATGTTACGATGCAAGGGCCCCGCACGGGCTATGGAGCAGGCCAGTCTCTGTTTTTAAGTTTGGCTTATGTGTAGCGCGTCCGTAATGATGTCTAGATTGCCTCCACCTTTCCTTTCATTTTCCACCTTCGAGGTGGCAATGCGCGCAGAATTGCGGCAAATGGATCACAAGCTCTCGAACCTCATAAATTCGTTACAGGAGCATGTGGGCCAGCTGGTTTTCTTGATTCAATGACGTCACGTATCCTTGAGCTCGTTTGGCCCAAGTCTCAAGGGGTAGATGACGGTAGATGAGTGAATTCAAGCCTGGTGCGGGAGGCCTTCATTCCAGATGCTTTTGCTATTTGTTGCTCTGCAGTGCTGAAGCCAGTGCCAGTTTATGCCATGGCCCATGGGGCACGCAAGAATGCGAGAATTACACTTATGCAGGCTCCCTGGTTGAAGACTTGAATCCTCCAGCTGCGCTTGATGAAGTGGTGAGGTTGCACAATGAACTTGGCGCTGTGCTGTATCCAGATCACGTGGCAGATCTTTGCGGGGCACAAATCACACAGTGGATGCAGCAGGTCCAAAGTTACTTCGAAACGGACACCTACCATGTTCCACTCATCCAACTACTCCCCATGCAAAACCATATAATGGCAAACCATGAAGATGTGGCGCAGCGGTGCCCGGTTGCTTGGCTCATGACACTTCTATTGAAGATGGAATCTAACCTTCAACATTCACAGCGGGGCATGACCTGTGCACGCGTGCATGCACGAGGTTGCCTTCGGGATGCGCGGGGATATTGGAAGCTTTACGCATCAACCAGGCTGCAATATGCTTCCGTTCCACCCACTGCGGAAGCCCATGCTGATACACTTTTCAAGGGAGAACTGCGCATTGTGAGCAGTTTCCGGCAGACATTGGGCAAGCCTCCGCAGCCGTGACGTTTATTGACCCTTGTGTACTGGCTCATGAGACTTGAGCGTCCATGAGGAGGTGGCAAGCTTGAACTGCTATACAACTGTATATGCAGCAGAGTTATGAAGTGTTGCGCGTTTGGCCACCGAACTCCTAAGCGAGAAGGCGATGAGCAGCCAAAGACGCTGCCTGATTTTTCCATATCATATTCATAACCGTTGAAACTTTGCTAGAAGAGACCCGCTCCAAGTACATTGGATGCTCGGGATTTGTGAGGCTGGTGGCTGAAAACGGCAGGGGGCCCCGAGGACCCCCAAGCCAAACCAGAATCAGTTGCTTTAGCACAGCCGAGTTGCCGTTCCAGTACTGACCACCGAAAAGGAGACATTCGCTCAATTCGCTCAATACTATACATGGTCCCTAGGTGCGCTTTTGTCATTCGAGACGTCTGGGCTCTTGGGTGATCCCATTGGTCTGCAACTTCTGCATTGTTGCAGTCTCCTTTTCTTCTGCCGTACTATTGCTTCTGGGCTCCACGGATGGGACATGTGGTGTCCACGAATTAGCTCTCCAGGCTACCGACCTCGATCGAACACTCTGACAATTGTATTCAGTTAACTCAGTTACCACGATGGGAAGGATGGCGGTGGAACAGCAAGGCGAGAAGTCCAGGAAATTGTAGGTGTTTGAACAAAGGTTGTTTCCCTTGACTGCGGAAAGCGCACAGCGGCAAAGCGGCTGAAAATCGGCGGCTGAAAACCTGTTTGTGGGGAAGGCATCATGAAAGAACCATGAATCAAACCGTGGAAAAGTAGGGTGACAGCTTGTGGAAAACTTCGCAGGTACATGGTTGAGCGTCCTCAACCACTTCCCTTCCAGCGACCCAGCTTCGTTGGATCAGGTTAGTCGCTGGAAGCCTGATCCCCCTGCTGGTGAAACAATTGGCAGTGGAAGTCAAGAAAGGAAACCCTTTGACCAGGGGGCGACACACACAGGTCGCCGTCGTCGGCGCTTTTTTCAAAAACCGGTGGCAGGCTTGGTGGTTGTGTCCTTTTTGGACATAGAGCCTCACTAGCTCGGCGGCAGCAACTTCAGCGCTGGAGGGTGGAAAGGTGTATTTGTGGATAGTGTGGAGTCTGGATTGAAGGCCTGACAGAGCCAAGCGCCGGCTCCCGGCTGTGGTGGCATCCCTGATTTTCCAGGGTTGGGAAGGTTGTATGTAGGTGATGGTGCGTTGCTGGAGGTCAATGTTGAACCCCAGGAGGTGAAAGTCATCGACAGGTTCCAGTTCCACTGGGTCCCCGAAGAAATTGTGGTGGACAAGGGTTTGAATGGCTGGGTGGTGGAGGAAGTGTTCATTGTGGACAATGAAGCGGTTGTCAACGTAACGGTAGTAAGCAAAGTGCAGGTCTGTGTGTTGCAATAGGTTGTTGTGGATCTGGTGCCAGGAGTGTTCAATGAGGGTGATGGCGACATTGCAGAGGGCTGGAGAGAGTTGGGAGCCAATCCCAGCTCCTCGTATTTGTTTGTAAGTGTTATTGCAAGCCCGGAAAATGCAGGTGTTGAGTGCATAAGCGACGATAGTGGTGATGTCGGAGGTCTGGATGGTGCGTTGTGTAGGGTGTTTTTGGTGGTGTCTGCCAATGTGGGAGTGGTGGAAGGGATTGCCGGTGGCTTGAACATCCACAGTGAGAGTGTGTGTGGATTGTTGTTGTTGCCAGTGCTGTATCATGGAGTGGACTGCATCGATCAGTCGATGTTGGGGGACCGAGTTGAAGAAGCCCACCAGGTCGTCGTTGGTAGCGTGGAGGGAGATGTCTGCTGGTGTTTGAGTGAGGTAGCTGTGGAAGTGGTGCCATAGTTGTGGAATGGAGAGCTGCCCTGGATGTTGTGGGTAAAGGTGTTGAAGTATAATGTCGAGGGCTCGGCTGGTGATACGTAGGAGGTTGCCTGTGAGTGAACGGAAGTAGGAAATAATGGTGCGGCCCTTTTGCCAGTGCTTTTTCTCCTTGAGGTGAACCACTCCGTAGGGAATGTTGAAATCCTTGCGGAATCCCCACTTGTAGCGTGTGCGGAGGATGGGTGGGACCGTGGCTTTGAGGTGGTCGTGGATGTTGGCGGCTGTGAGATATGGAAGTGGTTCAAAAAGTTCTGGGGATTGCCATGTGTTCAGAGCTCCGGTGAAATATTGACGAGGGCAGAACAGTCGGAGTTGTTGTAGTTCATGGTCAGCATGGTGAAGTACTGTATGTGGGCCGAGAAGTTCCTGGAGTTTGTCGGAGGCGAGCAGTAAAACGGGGTTGGTGTTGGAGATGAGCGTTGTGGAGGCGCCATTGGTGTGTGAGGAACGGTTCCAAGTGCTGGACGAGAGATGGTGGTAGCCCTTGAATTTTGAGCCACTTCGTGTAAGCTTGCTGGAAAGTGAGGAAGTAGCGGGCCTTGCTGGGGTAATAAGTGCTGTTCATGTTGGCGTTGAGGAAAATGGTGAGATGTGGTGGAAGTTGCAGTTGGTCCAAGGTGAGGATGTAGTGACCATTGGTGGTAGGGGTGTCAGGGTCGTGGAGGAGAGTGCGAAGGTGGTCGCACGCACAAGGGAGATCTGCTGGATCTGGTGGTGAGTGAAGCGTGTCTTCCCAGGTCCTGTGATTGTGGAGCTGAGATCGCAGAGTCTTGTGTGCTGCTTCACGGATGCGATGGGAGGGAAGGTGGAGGGGGATGGCTAAATGTTTGTGCTGTTGGATGGTGGTACGGAGCCATTGTTGACAGTGTTTGGTAAAGTCTTCGCGCGCCAGGAAGGGCACTGTGAGCGGAATGTTGGGTTTGGGTGGTGTGAGATTGCGATAGAGAAGGGCTTTGTTGATGATGTGGAGGGCTCTGCTGCGGCCTGGTTCTTCAAGGTTGGCAGCCATACGCCGGATGGCATAGACTTCTAAGTCCGTGTGTCGGCCACTTCGCAATTGTTTGGCTGCTTCGAAGGAGGCTGCAGTGTGTTTGGTGAGGTCACGAAGAAGTGTGAGCGCGTGATGTTTGGTGGAAGTGTAAAGATGGGGTTCGCGGAGGGTGTGTTGGCGTCGCCTCAGTCGTCGGAAGAGGCGTTTGCGGGTGGCTAGTCTGGAGTAGAAATGCGCGCGACGTTTGGTGAATTGCCATCCCTGGGCCTTGAGCTTAAGGTGTTGGGAGATGAACGGCCAGTTGAGTGTGGGCATCCAATTGGCGATGTGGTGGTGTTCCTGGATCCAGGCTTGATCGTAGGTGTCGTGGGACGTGAGCTGGATGGTTGTGTAGTGGTGAATGTTGTTGTGGGAGTGCCAGTAGCGTAAAGATAGTTCGGCTGAAATAGGAATGTTGTTCTGGAGTTGTTTGAGCTTGGCGCGGCGGTTGTGCTCCCTATGAGGGATGCCAATGGCTGTTGAGCCGACGTAGAAATGGCCATGCTGGTGGTAACAACGCTGGGGGGGAATGGGGTTGAAGTGGAGTTTGATGTAGACGGAATTCTGGGAAAGAACGTTGTGGTAGTGGTAGGTAGGTATTGGGAAGGACGTGGAGCTGCCGGAAACGGTTTCTCCATTGTTGGGATCGATGTGTTGTGGATGGGTAGGCAAAGAGCAGAGTGATGTGAATGAGGCCTGTTGCAAAAATGGCTTCTGCCCGTTCGATGTATTGTGTGTGGTGGATCAAAATGGATAGAGCGCAGTGGAGGCGGAAGAGTTGTTGCATAGTGTTGTGGCTGGGTTGCTTTTGGCTGAGCATAGCGAGTCAGCAACCAATTGCTGCTCCCACACTTACCAAGTGTTGCAAACTGCGAATAGGGAGACGATTGATGCGGCCGAGTGGGAGGCCGTAGCGGGTAGCTGCATCTTTCAATTGCTGGGTAGTGACTTTACTTGTTTGTAGCAAACGGAGGACTTCATTGGCGGCCTCCTGGACAGTGGGTTCGAACGTGGTGACCCACTGCTGGATATCAGCATTGGTCCAGCTGTCGGGGGCGTCGTCCTTCAGTGTTGGGTGTGGAGGTTGCAGGACATCTGCCAGCACTGGTGGCTTGGAGGTAGGTGGAGTTGGTGGATGGGATGGTTCGCCAGAGCCGGTGGCGTGGCTAGCGCTCTTGACAGGAGTGAGAGAATTGCTCAAAATGTGAAGCTTCTGTTTTGCGCGGGCAAGTTCGTCGGTGGTGACCCGGTGGTGTTCTTGAGGGCGCGTAGGGCGGTGCCTTCTGCAGGGGCTGGTGAGTGGGATTGGAGTTGTTGGATGAGGAGGTTGATCAACGGGGCGTGGAAAGCCCGTGCTTGGGTGGTTTTGCTGGGGGACTTCGGTTGGAGGGTTTCGGCA